TTAGCCTGGCGTGGTAGCGCATGCCTGTAGTTCCAGCTACTTGGAAGGCTGAGGCAGAAGAATTGCTGGAGCCCAGCAAGTCGAGGCAGAAAGAAAGAAGGAAGGAAGGAGGGCAGGCAGGAAAGAAAGACAGAAAGACAGAAAGAAAGACAGAAAGAAAGAAAGAAAGAAAGAAAGAAAGAAAGAAAGAAAGAAAGAAAGAAAGAAAGAAAGAAAGAAAGAAAGAAAGAAAGAAAGAGTTAGGCAGTAATGGGAAACTGTCAGGGGAGGAAGGGTGGGATTGGCAGTTGAAGGAAACTGCTAGGGGAGGGAGGGGCACACCTTAACAACAAGGGTACCTACATAATCAATGTTTGTATACCTAATCCTGAATTGTACCCCACATCTTTATAATTTTTAAAAAAGAAGAAAATAGAGAACCAAAGCTAGGCATCCTGATTTACGTCTGTAATCCCAGCACTTGGGAGGCCAAGGTGAGAGAACTATTTGAGTCTAGGAGTTCAAGACCAACCTGGGCAACATGAGAAGACCTCAAATCTACAATAAATCAAAAAATTGGTGGCACATGCCTGTAGTCTCAGCTCTTGCCAAGCTGAGATGAAAGGATCACCTGAGCCCAGAAGGGAAGCTACGGTAGTCCTGACTGTGCCACTGTACTCCATCCTGAGTGACAGAATGAGATGCCAACAGAGAGAAAGAGAGAATGGGAGAGAGAGAGAGAGGGAGGGAAGGGGAGAGAGAGAGAGAAAGAAAACTGAGGACTGAGGAATTAACAACTTAAAGGTAGACACTGGATCCTGAGATTCATTCATTCATTCAGCAAATATTTATTGAGTACCTTTCATGTCTTAGGTGCTCTGCTAGGCACTGGGCATACAAAAATGAAGTGCACAGATAAAAACACTTGCCCTCATGTTGTTTACTTTCTAGTTGTTTTGATAGACAGTGTCAAACACACAAAAAAATCTAGTATGTCAGATGGTGATAAATAGTACATAGAATAATAAATCAGAAGGTGGGGGTGGGAAATTCAGTTGCCACTTTAAGTAGGGTTGTCTAGGAAAGCCTACCAAAGAAGATGGTGTTTGAGGAAAGACAGAAGGCATAGAGATACTAAGGAATGGCACATTTTATGAGGGATCATCTAGGGCCTTCCAGAAGCCTTTGCCCCGCTCAGGGATTTCATAATGACCTCCTTTACCTCTTTATTTCTCAGGCTATAAATGAGTGGATTCAGCATTGGGGTCACCACTGTGTAGAGCACAGACACCACTCGGTCTCCCTCTGAAGACTGGCCTGAGTTATCTCGCAGGTACATGAAGATGAGGGTGCCAAAGAAGAGGGCAACGGCAGTGAGATGGGAGGTACAGGTGGAGAAGGTCTTGGCCCGGCCTCCAGCAGAGCGGATCTGCATAATGGCGACTATGATAAACAAGTAGGACACCAAGATCACCAAGATACAAGCAGGCATGACAAAAACAGCAAACACAATAATCACCACCTCCTGGGCATAGCTGTCCCCACACGTGAGTTTTAGCAGAGGAGGGAGATCACAGAAAATGAAGTTGATCTCATTGCTTCCACAGAAGGAGAGAGTGAAAGCTGTGATCGTTCGAATAAGGGCACTGGAAAAACCAGCAATGTAAGCCCCAGCAACCAAGCCCACGCGGTACTTCTCTGTCATTACGGTGACGTAAAGCAGGGGCTGGCACACAGCCACATAGCGGTCATAGGCCATGATTGCCAGGAGGTAGCAGTCGATGGAAGCAAAGAAGGTGAAGAGGAAGAACTGAGCTGCGCAGCGAGCCTGGGAGATGACTGCACCTTGTTCCCACAGCACAGCCAGCATCTGCGGGACGATAACAGATGAGTAGCTGATGTCCACCAAGGAAAGGTGGCTGAGGAAGAAGTACATCGGGGTGTGGAGCTGGTGATCTTTGCGGATCAGGATGATCATGCCTGCATTCCCTAACAGAGTGGCCAGATAGAAACTCAAAAATAACAGGAAGAGAGGAAGTCCCCACTCAGGATGTTCAGTGAATGCAGTAAGGAAGAACTCAGTCACCACAGTGTAATTCTTGGAAGCCATCCATTCGGTGGTTCACCTGTGAGGGCTGAGACACGAGCCACATGAGGGGACCCTTCAAGAAGAGGCCAAGGGATTTCAAGTAACAAAGCTTTAAGCTGAGTGTCTGACATGTAGGCACTCAACTTCAACAAACTTTGCAGTCTAAGGTAGATATAGACAAAAGATAACTCACTACAATATAAGATTAAAACTGATGAAAGTTTCTACTATAGAAAGAACAGAGAGCAAGTGATTTCCTGACTTACAAGTCAGCTCTTGTATTTGCAGCTCTGTCCCCAATTAGCTGTTTGATCTTACATAAAACACTTAACTTCTCTGAGCCTCAATTCCTTCCTCTGCCAAAAGGGAATCATAATATCTGTCCTGCTTATGAGATAAGGTTAATGCATGGGTTAAAATAGATGCAAAAGCACAGTGGAAAGCTCAAAGCACTTCACATGTATAAGGCGGCTATTTAAAATTTTATATTCTATCAATAAGAGTATGACCAGGAAAAAAATTCGTTAGCAATCAGCAATGAGCTCTGCTTGCAGAATATTATTATTCTCAATCTAGCAACATGCATATCTAACAGCTGTTATCTGAATTAGAGTTGGCTGACTTATTTAGAATATTGTATACACAAACACACACACATACACACAAGCATTAACCTTGGAACCAAAAGGGCAAACATAAGCTCCTTAGACACCTAACAAAGTTCCATAGGCATTGTTTGGTTGTCCTCAAAGCCCTTAATAAAAAACAATAATTTGATATTAAACAGCTTCCAAATTTGAATGCAGAAATATCTCTGCGGTCTGGTGTTGCCTGAGTGCTGTTGGAGGAATCTGGGTTAATGGATCTGGGAGTTCTTGGTGGAATTCTAGAACAGGGCCGCAAAGGAGGGCTTTGATTGTTTGAACACTGATGTACCAGCAGCCAGACCAGTACTGAGATGACCCATTATGGATAAAAGCAAATAAATTAGATCTGCAAGCCATGAGGGCATGAACTGTCCTCACCTGAATTCCACTTTGCTAGTGCCCTCCTCCTCTGTTTAATGTTTTCTCTGCCTGTGACCTGCTGATCTAAAGGGCACCTGGGGTACAGTTCACTCACTAGTATAACCCACAGGATTATCCTACATGTATAGCCCTGGGCAGGACACTTTTTCCCTCTAGGCTTCAATTACCTTGTCTTTATTCCCTTTCAATAATCAAAAATTCGACGTGTGTCCATAATCATGGCAATCTGGTTGAGATGGGGTCATTTACAGTTGTTCTATGTCTTATTCTTACTTCTAGGAATCTCTGTCTCTCCTCTCCCCCAGGACAAAGCAATCAATCCTTGACACTATGGTTCCCTGGATTTTTTTAGATTCAGTCCAACATAGCAAGGATAGGGGACCGGCCTCTCTCTCTCTCTGAGTTGTGATCTAGCACTGCACCATGCTGGTGATGATTCTTATATTCACTACCTCAGCATCATGCCCTAATTGGTTCCTTAGGTGCCTCTCTAGGGGGAGGTGATTAATCTTCATGTAACTTCCCAACAAGGCGTTTAATATCTTTGAAAGTTTATCTTCTAACAACCACTGGGGAGAGTAGAACTTATTCAATAAATGGTGCTGGGAAAACTAACTGGCCATATGCAGACGATTAAAACAACACCCCTACTTACTACCATTCACAAAAGTCAACTCTAAATGGATCAAAGACCTAAACGTAAAAACTCAAACTATAAGAACCTTAGAAAATGCAGAAGATACCCTGATGGAAATTGGAACTGGAAACCAATTCCTGATCATAACCCCAAATGCCTATGCCATAAAACCCTTCCACCAGAGCACTGGTTCTCAAACATCAGTGTACAAAAGAATTATCCAGGGAGTTTGTCTAAAATATTAGTGCCCAACCCCCATAGATTCTGTTGCAGTATAACTGCCACCAGAGCAGGAATCTATATTATTAATAGGCACCCCAGGTGATACTTGCACAGTTAATCTCCACAAGTGACAGAGACAGTGACTTAGGTTCAGGAGCTCTAACCTTGCTTGGCCCTCCGTGTGTCACGCCATAAACAAAAGCAAAATAATAAAAACATGTTCTTAAGGAGCATGATTCCTCCAAAGTCCCACCAATACCTTCCTTGGGAAACGTGATATAGGGTGAGTTTCATGTTTCCTTGCCTTATACTTTTTAAAAACCTAAATATAGGAAGGACTATAAAGCTTCTTGGTGACAAAACAACGGCCTGAACCAGGTCAGTGCTCTGTTAACTCGGCTTATCCAGAATATGGCACAAGACAAGAGGACTCCAGGGCAGTCATTCTCGAACCTGACTGCACATTAGAATCACCTGGAAAGCTTTTAAAATCCTGAGACCCAGATTATGCCCCTTAATTAAAGCAGAATGTCTGAGTATATGATCCACACACCAGTAATTATTTTAAATTCCCAGGTGATTACACTGTGCAGCAAGGTTTGAGAACCACTACCAGAAGACTCCTTCTTTGCCAAGTCCTATGTTTTCCCAGGCGTCTTAGGTAGATGTTCCAGGTAAAAAAATAAGTTTACAGTCTTTGTAAGTTTTAGAGACCACGGCATACTATATCCCTCACATGGAAAATCATATTGCATATCAGTATATTAAAGGATTCACAAAGTCCTATAATTCAGAAACCTCATCAACTTTCTGTAACCCACCATTCCCCAAAAGAATTTGGCCACAGAGCCTCTTTTTCCTTAGCATGCTACAGAACTAGAGCTCCTAGGGAAGGATGTTCCTTAGGTAGAATAGCTCTGAAGAGGCGCAGAAATTGTCCAGCTGCCAAACAGCAAAGTAGTAATGATTCCAAGTAATGATGACTCATCTCAGGATCTGGCTCCTTGAAGTCTCTCACTTGCTCCCCCGAGAGCAATCACTCCAACTGAGAAAAGAGTTGGGAGGGAGTCTGAGGGGGAGTAACATCTTTCCAGATAGGAGCTGAGGAAGGAAAAAAGCACATGCCCTTTAAAGACTCTTCCTTCAACTGTGAAGTGGGTCCATGACTGAGTTCTGCTTTGTGAAAAATAGTGACGTTCCCATTCCCAGGTGAATCGAGCTGTGAGGCCATCAGAACCCTGCTTTCAGGAAGCTATGGTTGAATTTTAAAACACTTGTTTTAAAAAACCGTCAGTTAGCCAGGCTCGGTGGCTCAACCTATAATCCCAGCACTTTGGGAGGCCGAGGCAAGTGGATTGCCTGAGCCCACAGGTTCGAGACCAGCCCGGGCAACTTGGTGAGACCTCATCTCTACAATAAATTAAAAAATTAGCCAGGCATTGTAGCACACGCTTGTAGTTCCAGCTATTTGGAAGGCTGAGGTGAAAGGATCGCCAGAGCCCAACAGTTCGACACTGGGGTGGCCATGAGTGTGCCACTGCACTCCAGCCTGGGCGATGGAGTGAGACTCCAACTCAAAAATAAAAAACAGACCATTGGTTTATTTAATTAGTTTGATTCAATCTCTTTACAATGTATACATAGATTGAAACATCACATCATATCCTATAAATATACAAAATTATTATTTGTCAACTCCCTTGAACACCTAGGTAGAGAAGAAACATTCCTCAAAACAGTATGAGCTACCTATGATAAACCCACAGCCAACATTTTGCTCAATGGGCAGAAGTTGGAAGCATTCTCTCTAAGAACAGGAGCTAGACAAGGATGCCCACTCTCACACCTCCTGTTCAACATAGTGCTGGAAGTTCTACCTAGAACAATCAGACAAAGAAGGAAATCAGGGATATCCAAATAGGAAAAGAAGTTACAACACAAAGGGTACCAGGTCCACTACCAGGAAAAGGAGGACCGGTTGGAAGAACCAACTTCACCTGCATGCAACCTACCTATGTAGTTAATTTTCACTTGTACCCCACATCTCTATAATAAAATAAAATAAGTTAAATGTTTTAAAAACTTTAAATGGCTTTTAAGAACACTATCAGATTGATAATTAAGATGGTTCAATCACCATTTGACCAGCCCCAAAGAAAAACAAAATAGACTTCAAGGAGTATAGATCAAAATTTCACATATTGTTTTAGGACCCCTAAAACTAAAGTAAAATAAGTTTAGAGTTGTTTTTCCTAAGACCCACATATCTGATCAAAATTTGTAAAGGAAAATCTAATACCATAATGATGGCAAAGACCATTTTAACTGCTTTCTATATGCCAGTTCACTCTTCTAAGATAGACAGATATTGAACAGAGGATGCTGATGGTGAAGATAATGATGATAGATAGATTCACTTAATGCACACAATAATCTTATGAATTAGGTACAATTATTGTCCCGATTTTAATGAGATGAGAAAATGTAGGCACAGAGTGTTGCCATCAATAGTCCTACAGTGAGTGGCAGAGTTCGGATTTGAATCTAAACAGCCTGGCTCCAGAATGCACATTCCTAACTCCTATACTATACTGCAAAGCCTCACAAGCATATCTCTGAACTTCATGGGAATAACTTAAGGGTTCTCTGTATTTTCCTGATAGCCTTTCAGAAAGAAGGGGACTTAGAGATGAGACCTAAGTTGCAGGGAGAAGACTGTGGTAGGAGACACTTGGGGCATTTGTCCGGGCTCTCATTCCTCCTATGAAGTATCACCTACAGCCATGGTGAAGGGATGAACTCAGCTTCTACCTTATTCCTGTATAGCCTCACCTTTCTAGTCACAGCTGACTGGATAAAGAGAACACTCAAAATGAGTTGATTGCAAGGGATAACCCTCTCTTCTTCTAAAAAAAGCTCTTTTCTTGAACTAGTTGAAGTGGATATCTGTCCCTTATACCCAAGAAGTCATGACTTGAGGCTTGAAAGAAGTACTAGGAAGGGTGTAAGAAGGACATATCTTCAGCTCTCAGCCTGGAATCCCTCTCCACTGTGTTGCGCATCCAGATTTGGGTAGATCTTCATGCCAATTCAAATCTGAGGAACTCCTAGTGCCTATAAAATTGCTTTGGAAGGACTTTGGAAGGACGTATCCTGCTGAAAGTTCCCTTCTCATTTCA